TTTCTCTCGCAATGTTATGTCTCAAATGATGGATTGTATCTTCAGATCTCACATTTTTGTTGAATTGTATCTTTACAAGAAATAGAAGCTTGGGTTGGGGTTTTAATGGGTTTTTGTTTTCCAGTCTTAATTCTTTGTTTGAATTGAAGCTTTGTTCAATTGAATGGGGATTGATCAATTATTCTTTGGTTGAGACAAAACGCAATTTTCTTTGATTTGATCAAAACATTGAGAAAATTATGAGCAAATCAGAGAAAAATAGGGTCAAAACATAGAGAAAATTGTAAACAAATCACAAAGAAAATTTGTAAGCAAATCAAAGAAAATTCAAACTATAAAAATTTCAAAATACAGAAAATTTGAAAACACAGAGAAAATCAAGGAAATTTTGATTCAGAGAAATTTCAAAACACAAATAAATTCATTTAGATTGAAATTTCTCTGAAAAAATATTGAGATATTTTAATCACTATAAAAATATTGCATATCCATTCTTTAAAATCTTAATATTAAGAATCTTAAAAAAAAATCTATTTAAAAAATTATTTTTACACCAAATAAAAGTAATCAACTTTTTCAATTATAAACACACAGATAAATAAATAAAAATAAATGACATTTTTTTTAATACTTCGGAAAGAAAAATAATAACTAAAACAGAACAAGAAGACACAATAATATACAGAACAACAAGACACAATAATATAGTAGTACAGAACAAATAGCTAGAAGGGACACTATCGCGAAAGCGGATCCTCTTTTTGCAACTTTTGTACTTGCGTCCGCTCTTGCAGGTCTTTGGATCTATTTTTAGGCTCAATTTTGATAATCTGAACCGTTCATATTTTATGATTTGTTCAGTATATCATACCTGTAAAAAATCAAGTTGATCGGATATCAGAAAGTATGTGTTCGAAAAATTGAACTAAAAACTATTTTTTAAAGAATTTAAAGTAGAGCTGTAGGAAAGTGCTTATAGCTTATGCCTAAACAGCTTATAGCTTATAACTTTCAGCTTAAGCTGATTTCCAGCTTATTCTTAAAGCATCTCATGCCTCACTCAAAGAATAAGCTGTTTTCTGACTTCCACAAAGCTGTAAGTTATAAGCTATAAGCTAAACTAAAAACATCAAAATAGCTTAAATTAAGCTGAAAGCTGAAATAAGCTGAAATTAAGCTGTACCAAACAGGGCCATTAAACAGTTTTCCGAACATATGCTTTCTGATATCCGATCAACTTGATTTTTTATAGGTATGATATACTGAATAAATCATAAAATATGAACGGTTCGGATTATTAAAATTGAGCCTAAAAGTAGACCTGAAAGCCTGCAAGGACAAGCGCAAGTACGAAACTGCAAGGAGAGAACCTTGACTCCACTATCGCAGGCTTCGGACCTTATCTAGAGGTCCTCTATAACTACTAAGGCCTTATCTTGGTTAGCATCCATTTTGACTAACCCATCACCACTCTTGTTTCCTTCTCCCAGAGCATGTTGCATTATGTAACTGTATTTGTTAATGAGAAATTTTGCATCTTCTACCAGGCTATTCATCGAGGAAGTTATCACAAATTTCACTTTCAGCAATTCAATAGCTTCGGTCGTCACATCCCAGCTTCGTGGCAGCACCGCACACTTATATAAGTGAGCATGCAAGGCTAAGAATTCAATCACATAACCTACAATGTAAAATACTCAAATTAAATCCTTAATTGTCATAATGAGTCCAACACATAACCAACAATGTAAAATACTCCAATTAAATCCTTAATTATCATAATGCTAAAATCCATAAAAATTGATTATTCTTATCATATGAACTTATCCACCAAGTCCACTAATAAAATCCATTAACTAAACAAATAATCCAAGTACTTAAATCATAATCCTACTCTCGGCACTCCCACATGTAAAAAAAAATCCCGCGCAGCTCTACTCTTCAGAATCTGAAAAAAATAAAATAAGGGTAAGCTAGACAGCCTAGTAAATAACCAACCATCACTGCCAGCTGGATCAAGTATAAAAAAATAAATAAATAAATCGATAATCAATAAATATAAATTTTTTTACAGTTCAATAAATGAACAATTATTTTGTAAGATGGTTTCATAGCTAAAAATAAACAACAATACATTTTAAATGAAAAGCCAACAAGATAATTCAAAGTAATTCGTTGTTCAAATCGATGGTTCGATATTCAGATGGTTCAATGATTTGATTCACAAAACCTAAGTCTTAATGATTACGGTCACTTAGCCCGCGACAAGGCCCAGAACCACACATAGGCCGGTGGTAAAGCCCCAAAAGAAACTAGTTTCTGTGCCAATAAATAACTCCTATTGGCTAGGGTCCAAATCATAGTTAGACTAGAGTGATGTTCAAAATTCAAACAATACACAACTTTTAAATAAAACTATTTGATATTTTCGGAATAAACATTTGGTATAATTTTCAGAATAGTTTCACAAAATATTCAAATAACTTTCATAATAATATTCGATGTTGTTTTATACTTGACCCATATCCAAGCTAATCTCAAATTACCAAGATCCACCTCAATCTCACAAACCTAATAAAATATTACACCGCATAAACAATTATTATGTGCACTCATCCATCTCTTCTTGTAACAACAATAGAATAAATTAACCCAATAGTCTATTAGGAACTCCCACGATTTAGCATCAAAACAAAGCCATCACGGTTTCAAAAATTCACAACCCATATTATTCTATTGTTGTTTATATACATGTAAAAATTTGTAATTGCTTGTAGTCAATCGTGTATCTTACAAACACACCACCATTAAACTTAACCCATCACATATCAATCTCAAAATATGAACCACCCAAACAGAATGTAAAATACACTCTAAAATTGAGCAAAATCGAGACCCCCAACATAGACTACATCAATATATTTATTTAATCATATATGTCCATAAAATCATCTATTAATATATTAACACCAAAATCATAGATAAAAATACAATAAAATAAATCTTACCTAAGTGATGAATAAAGTAAAACCACGACTCTTATGAATCCTCCCTCTTTTTTTTTTCTTTTTCTTTTTTTTTTTTACTCTTCAAACCGTTGAGCAGCAGTAGCCTCAAAATACCCAGCAGCACTTTCACAAGGCTCCCATTTCTTTTCTTTTTTCTTTCTTTTTTTAAAAGGGTTAAAAACCTAATTCTTAAGATTACTAAATTACCCATACAATTTATTTTAATTATTAATCTATCCAAAATAATTCTATAAATAACTTGGGTTTTACATCGGTGGAGTTGGTCCTAATGATGAGGTCTTTGTATCTCTTCTCAAAAACAATCGTTAAGTCTCTATAAATTGCTCATAGTTCTACTTCGAGATTTATACACATGTCCAGGCTTGCTGAAGAATCCACAAAGCCAAATACTCTTCTTGTCTCGGATTAAGTCACCAAACCCGCCTTGATTGCATTTTATACAAGATAAAAGTAATCAATTTTTTCAATTGACAACACACAAATAAATAAAAATAAATAAATAGAATATATTGGTTGCATGAATCACTTCCTCTCACAATATTAGCAAGCGCCGCACTAGGCATGGATAAAATTATAGGGGTGCAATTTGGGTGGATTTAGACAGTTAGGCTTATTCCGAGTTGTTGGATTTTTATTTGGTATAAGATTTGATTAGAGAGTGTTGTGTTGACCCAAGAAATCTATCATAGGCTTTTACATTAATTATTTAAATTATTTATTTTGTAGTAGCCTTTGTGTATATCACTTAAAAAAAAATAAAAACAAAAAAATCAATCCACTAATGGTAACATATATTTATTGTAGTTATGACTAAAAAAATAAATGATAGTTGTATTTTTAAATATGAATCATCTATTATTTTTGGTGACAAGTATTATATATTGAACATGCTATAATTATTAGATTAATTTTTTTTTTAATGAATGATATATACAAAACATCTCATAAAATGAAGAGTTTAAATAATCAAAACCGGCCCTTCGTGGGTCCCACAACTGCTTTGACAATAGTGGTATGTTTTTTTTTTTTTTTTATAGATAATGTTAGGGATATTAATGAAGTGTTTGGTAGAATTTTCTAAATATGATTTGATAATAGAGTTGTATTTGAGTTTGTAAATTTTGGAATTATGATTTTAGTGTGGAAAATTTATTTGGTGAATGAGTTTTGAAAAGAGTTTTGAATTGAGAGGAGAATTTTTAATGTGACATATGATATTTGATATAAAAACTTACAACTTATAACCAAACACATAACTCAAAATTCTATTAAAAACTCATAATTTTTTTTTTAAAATTTCGATTTTTTTATTTAAAATATAAAAAATACCAGGTGTTAATTGTAAAAAAAAAAAAAAAAGTACTGTTCTAGTCAACCGGCCAAAAGTTCGGAAAAATGACCGGTTAGCCCAAATTTTTCGGCCTTGGAAAGAATTTTCAAAAGTGAATGTAACATTAATTTTTAAAAACTGTAAACAAACAACACATTCCAAATAAGGGGTAGAAATGTGTTTGGAGAGGTTCTCCAAACAACGCCTAAGTTTTTTATCAAACAAATAAACAAAGGTCTCTTATGAGTATGGACATTTGATTATTTACCAAATTTATGGAACACATTTAATAATTTATTTGGTAAAAATTTAGAACTTATGGCCTTGTTTAGCTTGTATTTTTCAAAAATTTTTAGAAAAAATTCTCTACAAATAAGTTTTCAAAAGTAATCAAATCAAACAAATTTTCTCAAAATTTTTTTCCAAAACTTGTTTGGTTTACAAGTTTTCCAAACAAATCTCTCTCTCATACACATCAAATCAATCACTTTTTTCAAAACCCTCTCTCAAAATAATTTTCCAAAACATCTTTAAAAAAAAACCAAACCAAACAACTTTTCATACTTTTTATCTCTAAAATTCATCTCCCAAACTCAAACCAAACATTATTTTTTTTTGCTAACAACACACTACTAGAACACTCTTTTCACAACCTACAGCACCCATCAGAATTCAGCCCTCCACGCCCCTTGAAAAACGCTCCTCACCAAAATTCCATGGCGGAGGAGGACGACGTCCCTGATCAGAACCCTAGGTTCTTCGTGGCGGTGCACGTCGGCGCGGGATTTCACGCGCCGTCGAACGAGAAAGCTCTCAGGTCCGCCATGAAACGTGCCTGCCTCGTTGCTGCTTCTGTTCTTCGCAAGGTATTTCCTTCGGATCTCCTCTCTTCCCCTCCATTTGGTTACCGAGAATCTTGAGGAAAATAAAGGAAAAGGAAATTTAAACTAGAATATCTTGAATCTATGTCTTATGTCGTTTTGTTTGAATTCTGAATATTTTCTAACTATTTTCAGTTGAAAAGGGAGTGTTTGGTTTACTGGAATTGAGTATGATCATTTCATCACAATGTCCATTCTAACATATGGTTTGCTAAAAAATGAGGGAAAATGAGGGAAAATGCATTATAAATAGAATCATCATTCACCATTGTAGGTGGGAATGGTCATTTCATACAGATTATATAGATTGATATTCCATTTTATTCTACTAGGTATTTGCATAATGATGGGGGGCCTGCTCTCAGACGTGTGTTAGCTTGTGAGAGAGAGAGAGAGAGAGAGAGAGAGAGAG